TTTTTATTGGATGAATCTATCTTGCCAAGAAACTCTACCCTCATTCGTAAAATAACTCATAAAGGCCTCCCTAACTTCTTTTGCTGCATTCGTTGTATTTCCAAATGGTCTTCGTTGCAAGCTAGCCATATTAGAACCTTGTGAATTCAATCCAAAATATGTCACACCTTCTTCCGTATCATCATAGTCTAAGCACTCTGGAGGAATATATGTTGTTGATGACTTAACTATCAAAAAGTTATGTAACATGCAGCATGCCATTACAACGGATTCAATATTTCGCGGTTCTAAATTAATGCAAGTGTGAAATATCCGAAATCTGGCAGCCAATATTCCGAATACATTTTCCACAATACGTCTAGCTCGTGATAAACGGTAGTTGTAAATTTTTTTCTCCCTAGAAGTCAAGGCTGCCTGTCGAAAAGGTTTCATTAGGTCTACCCTCAATGGAAATGCATCATCTCCTATGAATACATATGGTAGGCTTCTGTCGGTATTCCGGATAGTTTCTTCTCCAGGAATATTCAGGAGATTATTTTGTAGTTTTTCAAAAAATTTGGTATTTTGTAATACACCACCATCAGACACCCTGCCATTTGTTCCGAAATCGCACATTAAAATACGATAGTTTGCATCAACTAAGGCTAATAGCACCATGCTATTAAAACCTTTATAATTATAATAGTACGATCCGCTTCCAGATGGGGGGATGATGCTCACATGCTTGCCGTCAATGGCCCCAAGGCAATGGGGAAAGTTCCAGAGTTCCTGAAATCTCTGAGAAATGTTTCTCCAGTCTTGTTCTAGTCGTGGAAACTGAAAAAAAGACAATATTATGCATTATGCATGATAAAAATATGCATGAAGAATGTCTGGCGATAAATTGTGTATTTTTTTCATTTTTTTTTCATGCTTTCAATTTATGAAATACGATTAAGTAATACAGTTATAAAAACCATAGATATTTCCACACACAAAAAAAAACTAACCAAACTGTTCAAAAAATCTTTTGTTACAGGATAAATCACAGGCCGAAACTTTAAACACAAATGCACACAGCTCTCAAATTGAACCTGAAACCCAAGATTCTACTGAAAAAACTTCAAGTGTGGCTTCAGGTTCGCAGTTTCGCCATAGACCGACACCAAAATCTCAAAAAGCAGATGACCAAACACAGTTAACAAAAGAAGTACTAGCAACCGTCAACAACCACTTCAAACGGCCACGCACAGCGGATGACCGGTTTGACATTTTTGGTAAAAACGTTGCTATGAAACTCAGAGATTTAACCAACGATCAGAGACGCCTTGCAGAGAAATTTATTAATGACGTACTTTTTGAAGCTGAGGGTGGAACATTAACACCACATCATAAACTGGCTTATCAGCCACCTTTGTCTAACCGTTATCATTCGTCCAGTACCTATTCTAGCCGGCCAAGCTTTCACCTCTCCGCAACACCAGCACCACCGCAGCAGTTGCTACTACTAAACTCCCCTTCGTCAAATGAATATTATTCGAATCATTCATCTAGTTCCAATCCTAGCCGCCCAAGTTCTCAATTATCCGCAATATCACCAACACCACCATCGCAGCAGTTGCTACTCCAGAACTCCGAAGCTTCAATTGAACACCACTCCCAGAATAACATGTTTTTTTCCCAGTCAGAAAGTGTTCAAGAAATGGAACCGTCGGCATCATCTCGCCAGTACCAGACTGCTAGTTCTCTTTTAGCTTCATTCACTTATGCTGATAACAACTGATAACTGAACTTGTTTTTGTATTTTCTATGGAAGAAATATAATGTTTTTGTTTATATATTTAATATTTACGAAATATAATGTTTTTGTTTATATGCTTAATGTTCAAGAAATTTATAATGTTTTTGTTTATATGTATGTTTAATATTAAAAAAAATTGTTCTTACCTTCATAAAATCCTTGTGTAGAACTTCCCATATTGCTTCACAAGTTTCAGGAATAATGTAACTCAGAGCTTGAGGTGATATAATAGTGGAAAACTTGAGGTCCTCATAGGTTTTTCCAGTAGCTAGAAACCTCAAAGTTGCCGTCAGCCTTTCGTGTGCTGGGATTGCTTCTCTCATTACAGTGTCTTTTCTTTTTATCAAAGGTGCTACCAATGATAAAAGTTGCAGAGACGTATCTTCATCCATGCGTAGATAATTGTGCCAATCCTTGGGAGCTAACTTCAGGTCATTCAGCAAATTCACATGAGAAAAAACGCTCCTTTTTTTCAACCAATCTTTACACCATACCGTACGTTTTTTTTTGGATTTCTTTTTACCCAAAGCAACTACTAAGCCGAGGTGTGCTAACGCGTCGTCGTCAGTAGAGGCCATGATGATTGAGACTGATATTTCATATTCGCCTGAACGTGTGGAAGGTGGCCAGTCCATCAGGCGACCGGCCTTCAGGCGGACTGTTCAGTTCGAACTGACAGGCCTGCCGGATCATGTGTAGCCGGCTTAAAGGTAACCGTGGTATCTAAACCAGACAATACAGACAAAATACCTACTATAATCATGTAGTCATGGTCGAAACCACAGGGAAAAATTTAAAACAAGGAAAGAGAGGGAAAAAATGTTAACCTCAATACTCATAATTAGTATTTACTAACTAACCTGTTTCGTAAAATATTCTTGATACATTATACAATTGCCACGAACTTTCATCTACTGCTTCACGCTGTGACAGTGCCTTATCGAATTTACTTTGATCCTTAAGGGTGTATTCCACTTAAATTTTATTTCTGATTGACGTATGATGGGTTGCATAATACTTACTTGTAATGAAATCGAAACGAATAAACAAAGATTGAAGAATTTACCTGCCCATCAACCATTGTATAAAGTAAACAAGTAATTACGCTAATTTACCTAGGTCATTAGCCATTGTGACGAATATGCATATATAATTAAACATCGATTAGAAAACGCAAATCATTGTCACAGCGGCTAATCCTCAATAATTTCACTTTTCCCAGTTATTCATAAGACGTATATATTTTTTTAAACCCAGTATAGTTACTTCATGATCATGAACTATATTGACTCTATCTGGAAAATAACGCATGTAAGCGAATAAGTACCTATAATTAGATATATTTAAAAAATGCATATCCAAATCCCAAACATTTATTAGTAGGGGTTTTTCAAAATTTCGTCTATTCGGGAACAACACAAATAAATGAGAACTAACGCTTTTTTCGCAAACTATGTCTCTTTCCGAAGGATGCTACAGGGAAATAATCTCAAATTTGTATCAAACTAAAATTTTAGGGGTGTTTCAAGATTTCGTCTAATTCGGGAACAACACAAAATAAATGAGAACTAACGCTTTTTTCGCAAACTATGTCTCTTTCCGAAGGATGCTACAGGGAAATAATCTCAAATTTGTATCACACTAAAATTTTAGGGGTGTTTCAAGATTTCGTCTAATTCGGGAACAACACAAAATAAATGAGAACTAACGCTTTTTTCGCAAACTATGTCTCTTTCCGAAGGATGCTACAGGGAAATAATCTCAAATTTGTATCAAACTAAAATTTTAGGGGTGTTTCAAAATTTCGTCTAATTCGGGAACAACGCAAAATAAATGAGAACTAACGCTTTTTTCGCAAACTATATCTTTTTCCGAAAGATGCTTCATGGGAATAATCTCAAATTTTGATCACACTAAAATATTAGGGGTGTTACAAAAAACGTAAGAAAAGACGTAAACTTTTAATTCACCCAAAAATAAATCACATTTTCCGTGTGAATTCTAATACCCAGTATATTATGGAATTATAATACGTTCTAATGAATCCGGTTTCTATTTCTAAATTAGTCCCGATAAACGCAACAATGTCGCTAATGAAGTCAGGCCGGCTGTATGATGTGTTACCTACTGTACATTTATAAATGGTGAATGACTTCACTAAACGCTACAAGTTTTCGTAAAAAATTTCGAATTGATCTAAAATTTTTTGTAATTTATTTGAAAGTTTGGTCGATGGCTCTATGGTTTGCTAATGTTTTTTCTGAGTATGCTACAGGGAGATTTTTAAAATAATTTGTGTTGACGACATTTTACCTATAAAAGTTCATTTTTTATTGGCAGTGCTCTAAAAAATTGATTTTTCTTAAATATTAAAATTTTGTTCTGTAGCATACTTTTTAAATGTATAATTTACACGAAAAAAATTAGTCCCGTCTTTCATCTCATGTTTTACAGAATTGAGACGAAATATAAATCGCACTATTTTCGCATAAATGTTGTAGTACTGGATTACACCCTTAAATGGCGGCCAAAAAGCTTCTTTTTTCTTTGGTGTCAACCATAACGAAGGTATTGCGCAAACCCCTCCCCCATGATTATCATCAAATTCAACAATTGCGTACATAATGTGAATGCACCTGGGATCAAATAATTATTAGTTCAAAAAATTCAATTTTAACCTACTTAATTCAATAAAATAACACACGCCAAACTTTATGAAGGGCTAATAAGAGGATAGCGTACCGACGTTGCCAAATTGTTCATCAACGAACTGTCAAACAATCTAACCCTAACCTTACATTTTTTACTCTTCTCTAATCGATAGATATATGATATGAGGTAGAGAAACGTTTCCGGGTAAGTAGAATTGATAGAAATTGTTAAAAGTATAGATATTTTCGTTTTTTAGATTCTTCGGAACGATTGAATTTGAAAGGTTAGATTTAGCTACAAATCACTAAAATACGAGCCAAATTGCTTGGTATTTACGTGTGGGAGATGCTTAATACGCGTAAAGACGTTAACAATGTTTGCACGGCTTTCGGGTTAGCTAAAACTACGGTGGTGTGAGTCTCAAGTATTGTGGACAATGCACCTTCTTATGTATACTGAAAATTGCATTGACGGGTGCAATGTCAAGAGAGAATTTATGTAGAATGATACGTGCGATGTGTATGACGGCGTTTATGTTACCATCAAACAGTTTACAGCTTTGCTACAAATGGCTCCAGTTTTGGTGCCTGTATTAACTGTACATTTGCTCACATTGCCACGATTGTCAAACATGGGCTAGTTAATGATGCTTGGCTGTGGTGTTCGATGAACTAAATACGACAAGTGTGTGGTGTGAATTAAGTGTAGAAAGTTAGCAGACTTTTTCCATGAGATGTGTCGTAATTGAAAAATATTTGAAATGGACTGAACATATACAAGTTCTTACAAATAAGTTGTAAGGTACACCAATCAATTAGGTTCATATAATACACAAAATTTTATCAATAAAACTATTTATTCCAGTTTATATATCACTCACTGATTCCTCTTTCATCCTACAAGTAATATTTTTCAGCTCATTAAATCTACAATGACAAATAATACGAAATAAATCTGTAAGTAGGAGTTTGGTGCAACACAATTATGTGACCAGATACAACTCGAAAATAATGTTGTTCCTTTTTAAAAAAATATATCCATTTAAACCTATAAATAGCCTAATATAATACATTTTGACTATGACCCTAATAGCTTATTTAATATTATGCTTGTAAATTTTTTTTATGCCTAGGTACATTATTGTAAATTTATATAATCGATATATAATATATTGGATAAACTTAGAAACTTGTTATAAATTAATAAACATAATCTTATAAACCTTAATTAATTTTTATTAATAAAAATGATCATTTTCTGGATCATTAGATACAACCAACGACTGTGTCAACACCTCCTTAATAATATTTATTTCTTGGTGGTTGGGTTTGCGTTTGTGGTTCTTATTTTTATTTTTTTTGCGTGTCGAATGAAATGACACTTGCTTCGAAATATTTTTGTTTGCTGGTTCTTTCGAAAGTTCCGTTTTTATATTAAATGCCTCAACATTGCTAACACACTCAGCATTTTTTATGTTACTTAAGATCATGTTTAGCTGATCAATTGAAAAGTCAGTATCCTGAACATTAGTGTTGTAATTGTAGATGTACTAGGTGAATTAAGTAAAACGAAGTGCCCACATAAACGTGTAATTATCATTCGTAACATACAGGTAGTGTCCTCCCTAGAAAAACTATGCAGTGTTGCCATACCCAACAATTAGCAATTATTTTTAAGGCCCTCTCCTTGATTTCCTGGGCTAGCGCTTGTTTTTTATTTATTGAACCCGTATTTAGGTTCTCAACAATTGGACGTAGTTATGCAGAAACCTACCAACCCACAATATGTCTGAAAACGGGCTTAATGGAAACTCGAACTTGCTATAAAAGATTCTTTAATTTGCAGAAACCAGCCAAGCAGTATACTGCAATAGCCATGCGCTAGTGACTCTACTACCAAACCATTTTATTGAAATGAAGACCCTATGATTACGCAGAATCATACTAACCCACTTGGTCGATGAAAATTATTCAAACTGCGCAACCAAGTGGTTTGGTAGCTTTCTGCAAAAATCAGTTCTTGTACATAACCTATCTGATTTTGCGAGTTTTAAAATCAGACCCCGTCGGAATTCTGTTATTGTGTTAGTTAGTTAAGTTAGTGTAGTTGATTTTCAGTTTCCTTGGTGCAGCATAGTTAAGTTAATCATGTTTAACAATCGGACATTAAAAATAATTACTTTACTTAAGAATAAAAACCAACTTTCTGGTAAGATGCATTTTCTGGTGTACTCAATAGCTACTGCATTTTCGATTTCGTGTTGTTATAGGAGATAGTAAGATAGAAAGTGAAAAGAACATTTCGTTCAATGTAGAATCAGAAAATCTCGTGGAAGACGTGATCCTTCCTAGTTCAAATAAGTCAAACGCCTATGAAGTGAATAAATCAGAAGAGGACCTCACGTATCCAGGTAAGTGGGCTTTTTAGTGTGCCACGTGCTATTCATATATTAATTTATAGAAAATTGTAACAAGACCGATAACAACATTATTAGCACTGACCAAACCGAACTTGTGGAACAAGACAAAGACTACGAAATTCATCCTAGTACCAGTAGCTATAAAGACAAACACTATGAAAATGCCGGTACCTATCCATCCGAAGATGACGATGATTCTGTCCGTGATCCAAATTACGCGACCGAGAGCGATTGTTCGGAATCGGATACAGCAATGCACACAAAAGTATCGCACGTTGTTGCTGATGCTGATGTTCAAGAAGGAAACCTAGATAAGGAACGTATAAGACCACGGAAAGGCAGAAAAAGAAAACATGCAAATGTTAGTAGAAGCGGAAACAAGGAAAATCGAAACAGCAACCGGGATTACTTTAACTATAAAGGGAAGAAAATTCAAGCAAAGACTTTTATTGATTTTGACTGTAAATGCACAATGAAATGCCACGACAATGTTTCCTTAGAAATCCGAAAGATAGAGTTTGAACGGTTTTGGTCTTTGAAGTCATATGATAGCCAAGTCACTTTTATTGCTGCTGGTGTACAACAGTTTCCTAAGAAGAGATTGTATGGAAGGGATCCTGATAAGCGACAATTTTCTCGACGATATAATATACACGGCCAAATTGTTTGTAAAAGCATCTACCTCAAAACTCTGGGCATAACATCTTTCAGGGTGCACACAGCTCTTAAAAAATTTAGGGGCGTTATTCCTATTACAGATCAAAGGGGACAAAAACAAGGGGGCTATAACAAATTGGCGGACGATAAAGTTCAAAAAGTAGTGGATCAGATTAATCGTATTCCAAAGTATACTTCACACTATCGTCGAGAAGCGACAACGGCGCAATTCCTACCACCAGATGTAACAATACAAAAGATGTTTGAGATGTACCGTTTGGAAACGGAAAATCCTGTGAGCTTTAGTTCCTACAAAAAAATTTTCTACGAGCGTTTCAACTTGAAATTTAAAAGTCTAAAGAAGGATACGTGTAACACTTGCGACACTTTAAACATGAAAGCTACAAATGAAGCAAATCTTAATAAACAACAAGAAATAAAAAAGCAACATGAGAACCATTTAGAAAACGCAGAAGGGGCTCAAAAATTAAGACGGCAGGATTTTAAATTGGCAAAGGAAAATGATGAGTATGAGTGCCTAACATTCGACCTCTAAAAAACGTTGCCGTTACCCCGAATCCCAACCAGCATTGTTTTCTATAAACGACAACTTTGGGTGTACAACTTGGGCGTACACAGCGGAAAAGATGACAAAGGATATTGCTATGTCTGGACAGAAGGGGTCGCCGGAAGAGGAGCGCAAGAGGTCGGATCTTGCCTTTTGAAGCATATTGAAAACTTAAACAACAATGTTAATCATCTTATACTATGGAGTGACTCATGTGGAGGTCAGAATAGAAATATAAAGCTCACTCTGATGCTGAAATATATTTTAAGTAAATCTCCTAGTTTGGATGATATTACTTTAAAGTTTTTACACTCCGGACATAGTTTTCTTCCGAATGATTCAGACTTCGGTGAAATAGAATGTGCGTTAAAACGGCAACAGCGACTATACATGCCAGAGGATTACGTTAATGTTATGAAAGAATGCCGGAATTATATTTCGGTATCCAGTCCGAAGATATAATTGATATTTACTACGTAGTCCGCCCTCTTTGAGCTAAAGCCACAAGGTTTAAAGAAAACAAAATTCCCGCTTACCCCCTCTGCTCGTGCGTGTAGAGGTTTGAGAGAGTCATTCGTTCTCTTGTGCTAGCCACGTTAGGTAGATCTGTCCTTGTAAGTACTTACACTAACGTTTTAGGAATTTTCATTTTTAGGATGGGAAAACATAGTAAACGAGCTCGCTCTAGATCAAGCGATTCAGATGAAGGGCTTTCTAAAAAACAGCTCCTTCGACGTTTGCTTAAATTAGAACGAAAATTGGAACGTAAACGTACCCGCGCTCGTCGTTCGACATCGAAAGAAAACAGGCCGCCTAAAGGACGCCACGTTTCTGTTCGCCATCGCTCGAGCAGCGTGGGTTCAGATGCGTCGGGCAATAGCGACCGTGATAGCTGTTATCCGCGGGATACAGTATCACATATTCGCAAATCTTGCTCTTTTAGTGATAGTCGCAGCCCGCGCGGCTCGGTATCTGCACCTTCAAGCGAAGGCCGCAGTCAGACCGGCGCCATTTCCATCCCGCAAACGGCGAATTTATCCACACAGGACCATGACCGTGACCTACATGTTCCTACGGAGAATTCGGTTACGAATGCTGACGTTTTATTAATCAACGATGAGGCAGAGTTGACGGAGGAGATTTTGGAGCTGTTGGGGGATAACCCGGACAAAAATATTTCTCAGAAACTCCTTTTACACCCAGAAATTATAACTAGGTGGAATTTTTTTTTTAAAGCACGGCATAACTCAACAGCTAAAAACTAAGCTTTTCGAAACGTATTTTCTCGATTCGAATTGTGAAGCTTTGAGTCCACCGATCCTAAACCCGGAAGTAGCAGCGGTTCTGTCAGGCGCTAACTTAAATCGCGACAAAGCGAGATCGAGCCTACAAAGCCAATTAAGTAGGGGCCTATTAGCGTTAGGTCTAGGTTTTTCGGCTATTTTAGAGGAGTCTAGCAACATTCCTTCTCCCTTAAGGGACAAATTGCTAACTTCGTTTACGGACGCCGGCCGGCTTTTTACTGATTTATTCTTTACGGAATCAATGACGCGACGTTCATTAATCGCACCGATCCTTAATAAAGAAATTAATGTTGGAATTCTGTGTAAAATATCCGAGATCGTAAGCGGGTTTACGGGCACTCGTAAGATCGGAACTAAAAAAGGCAATTCTGTGTCCGCCCGGATCTTACAAATTCTCGGAAGTCCCTACGGCTTGTCGTAAATTCTTACGGTGACAGATTATCTGACCTAAACTTATCCGAGCGCATCAAAATGAATAATATGCGCTTCTATTTACATATTGGTGCTCTTCTCGAAGAAGATAATGATCGGTAAGAATCAATATTTAAAAGCATAACGCAATTTTCATAAACAAACTTCATATAACATTAAAATTTGCGTATAATTATTTTTAAGTAATTTCATGAGAATAACGAAGAGACAGTTAAGGGACTCGCTTAATGTTTTTGAAACAAGCGAGAAAGACTTTAAACAAATGTTTCGTTTGGACAAAGTAAGTGTAATGGGTTTGATCGAGGAAATAGGCCCCCATTACCAAAACACAGGAAGTATTCCGCTTCATTTAAAGGTAATACCTAGGTATATTTTTATACATATCATTTTCAATACCTATGCTGTAATAACTACAAATTGGTACCTACAGGTACAGATACATAAGAAGGCGAAAGATGACGCATCCTTACTATTCATATTCTATTAATTTGTGCGCCACTGAGTGGGTTCTGCAGTCTGCGTATAGCCATTGTTTAAAAAATGGTATAGCCCGCTGTCGCCTTCTTATGTGCCGGTGCCAGTGCAATAATTACCCAAATTCGACAGGTTCTAACAACACTAAACTTTGTTGCCACTGGTTCATTTCAAAATCCTGTAGGAAGTAGCTGTTGGATTTCTTTGAGTCAGCCATCAGTTTCAAGAATAATACACGAAATAACATCTTTAATATCACAACATTTGTTGCCAGAATGGGTTCAATTTCCGACTGACTTCGAAACAAAAAATAATATTAAACAAGGGTAAAACATTAAGCACATAAGTATTTTAGATAAAACCTTCAACTTTATTCAGATTTTACAACAAGTGGAATGTACGTGGTGTTCTTGGAGTTGTAGATGGAACTCATGTTGAAATTCTTGCTCCACCTACGAATGACGTTCACCATCCCCCTTTTGTTTATATAAACAGAAAAGGAAAACACTCAATAAATGTTATGCTCGTATGTTAAAGGATAAGACGTATAGAAAATGAATATTAATTATTTATTTTGTAAAATTAGATTTCGGATTCTAACACAAAAATTATTGCTTGCAATGCCAGATATCCTGGGTCCGTCCATGATTCTGCAATATGGCAAATGAGTAATATTAAAACTTATTTAAAGCGGGAGTATGATAATGGAGATAAGTCCACGCATTTACTTGGTATTTAAACATATTTAACAATGTTATAATAGAAAAAAAACAATTTTTTTTACCAAATTTACAGGTGATAGCGGATACCCCCTTGAACCATGGCTATTTACTCCCTTTTCGAATTTTGAGCAAGGAAGCCCAGAAGAACGTTTTAATAACCAATTCAAGACGGCTCGAAATGTTATTGAAAGAACCAACGGCATATTAAAAGGACGTTTTAGATGTTTGTCAAGGCACAGAGTTCTTTTATACCATCCGAGTAGAGCAGCTAACATCATTTATTCTTGCTGTGTTCTTCACAATATTGCTCTCCGGGCAAGGATTCCTCTTCCGGAGGAAGAAATAGAATATAGAGACGAGATTGGCATAGGTAAACGTTTTCATGTACATCATTACCTCAAATAAAATGTACAATGTTTTTAGAAGGCAATTTGGAGTACAATGATGTTCTGCAAGAAGGGAGGGCTACAAGAGCTAGATATATAAGAAATAATTTATTATTATAAAATACAAAAAAAAAACTCCAAGACATTTATGTTAAAAAAAAGACTATTAATCAAAATCAAATTTAAAGTTTTGGTTTTCAAATTTATATTTTGCCACTTCAAATTTAAGTCGAAGAAGCTCGTTTTTGTTTTTTTCCTTTTTACACTTTATGTACTCTTCGGAAAATTGTTTTACAATGGAACCTAATTCTTCAATATTTTTTTCGGATTTGTTCATTGTATTCAATAAGCTTTCTGTCACAATCGACAATGGCTTTTGCCGAGGTAGAGTTTTTGTCCCAGGTTTTTGCGGTGGAACGGGTGTAACAGCCGGTTCAATTTCAGGTGGTACTATTACTGGTGTATCATCTTCAACCGGCATTGGTTCAGTAATTTCCTCCTCAAGAGGTATTATCATGGTATCTGAATCTAATAAAATTCCATCGAAGTTTGTAACACCCAACGCACCGGTTACGGTCACTTTTCCCCATACACAGAGTGCCCGTTCTTCCATGTCTGTTAGTGTTATACTGCTTTGAGGACCTGATCCAGTCTTTAAACGGTGCTCATTTAATTTCCTATATTTGTTTTTCACAAAGTACTTCCAATCTGTAAAACGCTAAAAAAGATGGTTATTTAAAAAAAGCGATGAAGAGATTTAAAATAATGCTACAAAACTTGTGCTGAAGTTTGCTGTATAAATCATATCGTTTTTACCTTTTTCCAATCAGCTACAGTCAGCTGAGGCCCATCTGGATCAGAATTTAACTTTTCTGACATTTCACCCCATTTATTTTCGATGTAATTTACATCTAGCGATGGGTTGATTGTATTGGATCGCATATGGTAGTCATTTTCCATGTAATATAAGTAAATATTATATTGATTAGTTGTTGTGTTCTTGGTTCTCTTTCTCTTTTTGTTTTCTAAGCTAAAAAAATGTAAATTGTCATTTTTAGGTTAGGATATTAATTTTTTTTAAACAAAGAAATAACATTGTAAATGTACAATGTAATCTTCAATAATAAAATCTTACCTCATAATGCTACTCTATATTCAATTTTACTTCAGTAAACTGTCCAAACGGCAAGGAAACCAAGGGATAAATGGTGTACACTACCGGCTTGTCAATGAAAACAATAGAAGTGAAGTTGGTTGCGATCGGAACGGCTCGGTAACGGCGACTCGTAACGCTTTTCATTACGAGTCGGCGCACAGAATTGCAAATTTTAAGGTTTTGTAAAATTTCGCTTACGATCAACTTATAAGCTACGGGCGTACGGTTTTACGGTTTAACGATTGCATATGTACAGAATTCCAGCATAAGGATCTTGTAGATCCGTCAGAAGTGGATACCTTTTTGTTCGGGTCGGACTTAGCGGACAAAATTAAATCGGCAAAAATTATTAAATCTACGGCTAGAGAGTTAAGAGCACCTGCCGTACCCACCACATCCTTCCGTCAAAAATCAGCGAGATGGAACAAAAAGCCGGCCACCGCTACTCGACCGCAGTCGGAAAACAGGAATCGCCCGATTCGTCGCAAGGGAGAAACGGATCTTTACAAAGGGCGCTCCTACCGCAGAGAATCGAACAGTCGGAGAGACACATTCAGAGGCAGAGGCAAACAACAATAACCGAGGTAGGTAATAAGTTCGCCGGCCGTCTTAGACACTTTTATTCTGCCTGGTCTCAAATATCTTCCAATTCTGTGATTCTGGATTGGACACAGGGTCTCAAATTGCCCTTTTTATCAAAACCGATTCAGGATTCTCCGACATGTTTTAAAACATCAGTCAACCATTGCAAATTGTTAAGGGAAGCGGTACTGGAATTGTTAGCCTTAGGAGCCGTGGAAAAATGTTCCAGTTCTGCGGGCGAATTCATTTCGCCAATTTTTTTAGCAGATAAACCTAACGGCAAAAAGAGATTTATTTTAAATCTGAAAAAGTTTAATACCTTCTTGTCGACACCCCATTTTAAAATGGAGGACTACAGAACAGCATCAAAGCTAATAAGAAGTAATTCTTTTCTAACAACGATTGATTTAGAAAACGCTTATTTTGTAGTCCCAATTTTTAAGGACGACAGAAAATTTCTACGTTTCTGGTTTGACAATAGTCTCTATGAGTTTTCCTGCTTGCCGTTTGGTTTGGCCTGCGCTCCTTATGTCTTTACTAAATTAATTAAACCAGTGGTTTCCTTTTTACGGCGAGAAGGAATTACAATAATCAATTATTTAGATGATTTTCTTATTATCGGAGACTCTTTTGAAGAGTGCGAAAACCACACACGAGTGAGCATAGACTTACTGGAATCTTTGGGTTTTATAATTAATTACGCAAAAAGTAACATATCTCCTAATTCAAGCTGTAAATTTTTGGGCTTCATGTTCCATGCTCCCTCTTTACGGTTAGCTTTACCTGTCGACAAACGCGAGAAAATTTTCAATTTCATTATTACCACCCTAAACCGCAGAAGGAGTACAATCAGAAACTTTGCGCGACTAATCGGCGTTCTTATTGCTGCGTGCCCCGCCATTAAATACGGGTGGGCCCACACAAAATCTCTTGAACGAGCCAAGATCAGGGCTCTTAGACTTTCGGGAGAAAGTTTTAACTCTTGGTTCTTTCCTTTAAGTAGATCAGTTCTTTCTGATTTATACTGGTGGGCTTCACACATTCAGACGTCCTCCAACGACATAAAGAAAGATTACTTTGACTTAATAATCTTTTCAGACGCGTCCCTAACGGGTTGGGGGGCTTGCGCTAATAATCAGACGGCTAGAGGATGGTGGAATCTAGGCGAACAATTGTTACACATTAATACTTTAGAACTATTAGCGATTTTTAACGGTTTAAAAAGCTTCGCCGCGAATCTTAAGAACTGTAACATTCTGATAAGATCGGACAACACCACGGCTATCGCCTGCGTTAACCGCATGGGGAGCGTTCGGCACAAGACCCTTAATAATTATGCTCAAGATATTTGGAACTGGTGCGAACAGAGAAACGTCTGGATTTTTGCTGCTTATGTTTCTTCTAAGGACAATTGGCAAGCGGACGCCGAATCTCGAAGTCTACCTCCAGATACGGAATGGGCCTTGTCACATCACGCTTTCCTACTAATAGTAGAGAATTTCGGAAACCCTGATATTGACCTGTTCGCGTCAAAAGACAATCACAAGTGCGACAAATTCTTTTCTTGGCATAGAGACCCAGCTGCAGAAGCTATAGATGCTTTTACAGAAAATTGGCAGGGCTATTTTTTTCTATGCGTTCCCGCCTTTTAACTTAGTGTTGAGAACCTTGAATAAAATTGTGCAAGACGAGGCGACGGGAATTGTAATTCTTCCTTTTTGGAAATCACAACCCTGGTTTCCACTTTTTTGCAAACTTATCGCAAGCAAATTATTATTCTTTGATCCAGATATTAATCTGTTGACATCTCCTTTCAGCAATCGACCACATCCTTTGGCGAAGGACCTTACCCTGGTGGCGACAATTTTGTCAGGAAAGCCTTCCGCCTGAAAGGAGCTCCAGAGGAGTCTACAAGCACCATACTGAAATCGTTGGCACCTGCAACTCTCAAACAATACAACAGGACCTATAAGCTGTGGTGGGACTTCTGTAAGAAGACTAGAACTCATCCTTTTTCTGCAAATTCTACTGAGGTACTGCGATTTTTGCAGGATATTTTGGAGAATTATAACCTAGGTTATGGATCCTTTAATAGTCACAGGTCTGCACTTTCATTAGTCTTAGCCGTCAACCTAGAGCAGTGTTCCTTAATTAAGCGATTTTTAAAAGGAGTTTTTAAGTTGAGACCATCCAAACCTAGATATGATGTTACCTGGAATCCACAAATAGTTCTTGATTTTTTCAACACGGAAGAAGTCGTAGATCTACAGACACTATCGAAACGCTTAGTAACCTTGTTGGCACTGATTACAGGACACCGTGTACAAACCTTTTCTGTTATTAGAACGTCAAATATTGTTCGACATGAGAAGGGAGTCAGAATCTTCATATCGGACAATATAAAGACATCCGGATTGGAACGGTCGCAACCAGTGCTAGAACTACCGTTTTACCAGGTCAATCCTAACATTGCGTAGCTACCTTGCTGTTAAAATACCTGAACAACACAGCAAACATTCGACATCCTGACTCGGATCTGTTGTTTTTAACTTATAAGAAACCACACCGACCAGCTACCAAACAGACCTTGAGTCGCTGGATCAAAGACAGCCTCGAGTCCGCAGGCGTGGATACGTCGATTTTCAAACCTCATTCCACTCGCCACGCTTCGACGTCGATGGCTTGGCGAAAGGGCGTTTCTCTAGAGGCTATTAGAAGAACAGCCGGGTGGAGTAAAAATTCTGAAGTTTTCGCCAGGTTTTACAACAGGCCATTATATCAGCAAGATAACTTTGCATTATCAATTTTGGATAACCACGATTTCTCTTGACAAATCTCATGTATAGACACATTTTTTGTTTGATAAATACATAAATTTTGTAACACAACTAACGTTTAGCTATTGGGCTAACTTAGAGTTTTTACTAGATTGTGATGACTTGGAGGTTTATTTGCCGCAGCTCTTTAAACATCTACGTAGTAAATATCAATTATATCTTCGGACTGGATACCGAAATATAATTTAACGATCAATTGAACTTACCTGTGAAGTTCGATCGAAATTATATGAGGTATCCAATCCGAAGATATAAGGTCCCTCCCCCCCTCCCAAGGGGCAAATAAACTTCTTTCAACATAATGACTCTCTCAAACCTCTACACGCACGAGCAGAGGGGGTAAGCGGGAATTTTGTTTTCTTTAAACCTTGTGGCTTTAGCTCAAAGAGGGCGGACTACGTAGTAAATATCAATTATATCTTCGGACTGGATACCTCATATAATTTCGATCGAACTTCACAGGTAAGTTCAATTGATCGTTAAAAAAGAAGCCATTTATTGTAACCAAAATGAATTCTGAAAATTTTTTTGGAGTACAAAATATTGAAAAGAATATTGTAAATAGAAAAACTTCTAATAAAGGTGATAAAATAAACTGGCTGAAAATTCGATCCATTCGTGTAGAAAAGAATCAACCGTTTATAATAACTGTTCAGCAAGACAACTTTGATGAACCTGAGCAACAAGTAGATATTAGAAAAAGGAATTGTAGAAAAGGAAAGAATGATTCTGATTTTTGGGAAGTGATTCCTCTTTGGCCGAAAGGAAAACCGATTGCAGATGCAAAATGGAAAAATTTACAGGAAATGATGCACCTCATTCCCTTAGACTGTCAATCGTTTTATAACAACTTAATGGGAGATACAGCTATCGAAGAAGACGTGGATGGCTACAATGTTCTTGGTCTTGATTTTGAGGTAGAAAATGATTTAGATAATTAAGTCACTATAATATTGTATTTAATATACTCGTGTATGTTTGAATAAAGTTTGGGTTTTTCATAAATGTTAATGTTATGAATCTGCTGAAACCTACTAACCCACAAAATACTCAAAAAATTGCGATATTACGGTCAGTTAAGATAAATGTTTAAAAATTCAGTTATACACCGCTTTAAATTTACATCATTATGGATTTAAAAGTTCTACATGAACACGTTATGAAGAAAGGAATGAAAATAGTTACCACGCAAGATTTCTCATTTTCACACCTTTGATGCTTGGTATGTTTCTGCATAACTACGTCCAATTACACTAGCTTCTTGTTGACCTTCTGCAGTGTCAACTGGATTAATACAATTATTCATAAACTTCAACGCAATATAATGTACATGCTTGCAGATTGTTGTCCTAATAGAATAATCTGCACATGTACAACTATACAGGGTGATTCCTATAGTACCTGCCACCGTTTGGGAGCGTATAGGGGGTGCCTAGGGGAGTATTTTGATATAGGACACTTGGGTTCGGAAATCTAAAATAAGGGCGCCAGAACCAAATTTATCTTCTGGAATTTCACGCCTGTATGTAGGCAACCCAACCGACCGACGTTTCGCGCGGAGCGATGCAGAGCGAGTTAGCGCGAGGGAGCGACATGGGAGGGAAGGAGGGAAAACGACAGTCAAAAGCAATAACGTTTACAAGTGTTCAACGTGGCCACCGTTGTTCTCAATGCACTTCCTACATCTAGCCAACTATTATTATACTATTTCCATAGTGTTTATTCACTTGATACGCGTCGTTGCAGACGGGATTTCGTGGGTTTAAACAAAATTCTGATCAAGTGTCAGCCACACATCGCCGCCTGAGATCGCTCCGTGTGCACCGCCGGCCGGTTGGGTTGCCTACCTACAGGCGCGAAATTCCAGAAGGTAAATTTGGCTCTGGCACCCTTAATTTAGATTTCCGACCCCAAGTGTCCTATATCAAAATACTCCCCTACGCACCACCTACACGCTCCCAAACGGTGGCAGGTACTATAGGAATCACCCTGTATGCATGTATACATATACTACAAATGCTGCATTTCATACCGCAGCATACAGAGTTCTCGAGGAGGTTTCGTGTGATCCAATATGTAGCTTTATTACTATTTGTCACAGAAAAATATTTCTCAGATTGAATTACTTCAACATTAAATTGTGAAGTTATAGCAACTCGATGATGTAAATGAATTTTGTTAATATGACTAGTTGTACTTCCTTTAGTTAATTTTATTACTCTTTCAATCTTTTTATTTCTTAAAAACTCCATCAAGACATGAACAGTTTTGTCCAAGCGCTTTATTTTCTTCCCTTGTAAGTACAAGTATTTTAATGTCTTGTGCATGCTTTCAAGATGCATGTTAGTGTTTGCGCCACATCCTGTTCTAAAACAATAGGCCCACTTTTTAGAATATGGCACATAGTAAGTGCAGAAATATTCCTTGAATTTTATGCATGCTTTATTTTCAGTTAATAATTTTACAAAATCTTGTAGACCTTTTTCAAAAAGTTCCACACTTAGTAGGGTTTGCAGATACTTTAATGTTTTATAAACCCACTCCTTTGTTTCAATGTCGTTAATCTTCGACAAATTTGATTGCCAAGCACGATCAATGTGCCACGAACAATATAACTGATTTTTGGCAGGCCCCATTATTTTCTTCCATGGTCCATAAAAAACTTCTGTAATGTCAGACATGAAAGTCTCTGTTAAAATCGATCCTAACACATCCTTGACGCTTTTGAAAAAGATTTCATTTATGTAAGAGTCTTTTCTATTGGAGAACATAAATGCAAATGGTATGCCTGTGTTAAACTCATCAATACTCAGGAGCGTTGTCAATTCAAAATCATAAGCATTAAGCCCATGAGTGCTGTCTATGGCAACATATTTTTGAGCAAACTTCCTATATAATTCTAACTGACTCCTATCCAAGATGACTAAACAAAAATCACTTTCTTGTAAACCAATAGAAATATCTCCTTGTTTTTTATATAAGATAACAGGGTTATTTTCAGCTTCTGAGCACTGCTGAACCCAGATATCGACGCTAGTAGCATCATCATGATGCCTATATCCATCATTAATATTGATATTGTAAGCGATCTTTATATTATTAATGTCTTTCCTGGTTATAAGAGCAGTCCTGCTAAGCTTGTTACTAACAGATTCTCGAACTGAGTTCAATATCCTAAAAATCGATGACCACGTTAATTATTAGCCTAACTATTTAAAACATTTACCTTAAGGTGGTACTCCTACTATTAATTTTGAAGCAACAGTCTTTTTATCACTTTTGTGTATTCTTAGGTGTTGTACTTCATTTTTGTGGCCATAATGACTTTTGTAATATATCACTTGACATTTACTAGTGACTGTATTATGTTTTAAGATAATTTGGCTAGTGCAAAAACTACCAATTTTGCAAGATCCTTGGCTCTTTGGAAACCGTTTGAGATTTGTTGTGGGAATAGATTGTAATCCTACAAAGATTAAATATAATTAATTATGGATATATACCTAACACATTTGTAAATACCTGATCGAACACAGTAAGAGTAACTGGTTTCTGTTACACCATCCTTAGATCTTTTAACGCCAGTTTTTTTTTGTAAACTTAATAAGATTTTCCGTTTCTTGATTTTGTAGCCAGACGTTAAATTCTGCAAAATAAAAACAATATTAGTTATATACTTTGAAATGGTTTCAGTATCCAATTATTTACCACACATAGATTCAAAATCAATATCAATCCTTTGACAATCAATGGTGTGCTTCAATTTTAAGTGTTCTCTTAAAGAATCGCAACATTTGAAAGACACGTTACAATTTTCTTCCAAACATTTAAAATCACCAACAGATTTTTCGTACTCCACAACAAAACTATTCAAATTATGATTTTCTTTTCTATGCCGATTTGCACTACTTTGACAAGAAAAGATTTTTCCACAAATTAAACAGGTAACACTCATATTTCTAACTTAAGCGTAATCAAATTAAAAATTAAATGACCACAGTCCCAGTCACAAATTCACAGTCCGTCAAGAGATGAAGCATGAAGAGTAAAAAAAAGTAAGGTTAGAGGGTTAGATTGCTGACAGTTCGAGATTAGGCAACGTTGGTATGCTATCCTCTTATTAGCCCTTCATCAAACTTTAACGATTAATAACTTGCTGCCATCTGCACTTACACACGCCGTGCTTGAACGTTGCACGAAGCTGTTGCAAAACGTAACACGGAGACGAACGATGAGCCAGCCTAGCTTCGAAACCGTAAATGGCGCGAATTTAAAGCAGTACCTATTTCAATATTTATTACTTTGGATAATGAAAGTCTAACCAAACGCGTTGATTTTATAATCACTTTATATTTACAAAATTGTTAACTTTAATGGCTAAAGATAAATACTGATGTACGTCAATCGTACGTCAATTTGCGCCCGTCATAATGACAGTTTAAGAAAGTCGTCATTTTGACCTACAGATAGGAACGTATGACGTCTCAGACGATAAATGACTTTAAAATGTCGTCATAAAGACGAAGGGTGCTACCTGGGTAGTTGCTACAAGATTGTAGATATCGGTTAAAAAAAATTACAAAGCAACTAACTTCTACAAAGTCGAACTCTTCAATGTCGTTTACGTCATTGTTCGTTACTAAAGAATAAGAGGAAGGATTTGTTAGCGTAGATGACGATGGTGCAGGAGAAATCACATTATCCATCTAAAATAATACATGCATATTAATTAAGCATGGTGTTTATTTAATGTTCAAATCAGAAGAAGACAAAGGAGGGACGCACAGGAAATAAAAAAATGTAAAAATAAGTTTGTAAGACCCCTACAAGGATTCGCGGGGGGGGGGGAATATTTGAGGAGTAACTTTATGGGTTAGATAGTATTTCCTCCTCTGGACCATATTTTGATTTTTACTTACGCCAGTCTCGTTTGTAGCAAGCTCGAAAAAAATAGGGGGAGGTGATAGAAAAAGCTCGAGGTTTCTCTTAAACTTGATTCGGGTGCCAATTTTCGGTATTAGTTCTCTTAAGGGTGTAATCCAGTAGTGCAACATTTATGCGAAAATAGTCCGATTTATATTTCGTCTCAATTCTGTAAAACATGAGATGAAAGACGGGGCTAATTTTTTTCGTGTAAATTATACATTTAAGGCCCGGTTGTTCAATCATGGTTTAAACTGTAGATTAGCTTAAACTGGCGTTTAAAGCTGTAAGCTTAGTTTAATGCATTGCACCACTGCGGTTTAACGTTAAACTCGGTTTAGATTAGAGGTTTAACTAAACGGTGAAAGAGGGCCGTTTAACGGTCCTAAACCGTCAAACATAACCCCAAATACCTACATAATCAAACAAACGCGAAAACGTTATTCTTGTCATTTAGGGCTGTTGGTCTCATGGTTTGTTAATCAAGATGAACTACACGGATTTTGATAAGCCAATTACTGATGATGGTTTTTTGGAGCTAATGCAGCTGTTTTTGGACGATGAAGAAGAACCTCTCATTCCAAGCAATTCCTCTATTTGCTCGTCTACATCCGTCGTTATTATTTTCTTCGCTGGCCCTTCCCCAGTAGCATTTAAATATCTCTTTTTATTTGCAAATTTTTTCTTTAAAACCTTTTTTTGCTTCTGAGTGTTTTCGCTTCCCTTACTTGACCTCCTGCAGCATTAAACTCCTCAGCCTCATGCAGCGTCTTTGAAGCGGTTATTAAGAACGTCCGTTTTTTTACACTCTATTGTTGCTCGAAACTTTTTGACGAGCTGCAGAAGCATCGCATCGTTGGATTGAAGTTTACAGATCGTGGTCGCTTCCGTACTAAATCACCAATCTCCATTTCCAAACGGTGTTACTAGCTATGATTAATTACACAAAAAATACAGACACTATTTCAATCACGAACAAAACAACATACACGCTTGTAAACAAACCAAATTTGAAGTTTGAATAGCGTAAACGTCAAAATTTGAGCGGATTACAGTGTTGCCACCAATAGAAATTTCATTAAACGCAGTTTAGTTAAACTCTCCCTAAACTGCGAATGAGCAACGCAATAAAAGATAAACTGTGGATTATCTTAAACTACGGATTACCTAATCTGCAGTTTAAACCGTGATTGAACAACCGGCCCTAAAAAGTATGCTACAGAACAAAATTTTAATATTTAAGAAAAAACAATTTTTTAGACCACTGCCAATAAAAAGTGAACTTTTATAGGTAAAATGGTGTCAACACAAATTATTTTAAAAATCTCCCTGTAGCATACTCAGAAAAAACATTAGCAAACCATAGAGCCATCGACCAACTTTTCACATAAATTACAAAAAATTTTAAACGAAATATTCATTCGAAATTTTTTACGAAAACTTGTAGCGTTTATGGCCATATGCACCGTTTTTTATTTAAACTGCGCTTACGTAAGCTCGCTTAAGTAGTTAAGCGCTATACATAATTTTTGGTAATGCACCGTACCAAACTAAACCGAGTTTTGGTAAACCGTGAATATGTTTGGCAACGTAGCATTTTTAACCCACAATGCACTTCGTCTACTCAGTTGTTTGACATGTTATAACCTCAAATAACATTGTGAATTGTGATTGTAGTATTGTACAGATTTCACGTCTTTGTTAAAACTATACAAATATGAGCAACGCAAAAGTTCGAGTGCCCAACTTTTCCAGTACAGAGAAGCTTCATCTTTTAACGATTATATCTCAAAAATATTACAAGATCCTAGAGGACAAGAAGACTGATCGCGTTTAAACGGGACAAAAAGAAAAGGCGTGGGACGAAATAGAAGCCGAGTTTAATGCTTCATCTACCTGCACCACATACAGAAATGCACTGAGCCTCAAGAAATGGTATGAAAACCGAAAAAAAGAGCTCCGGAAAACTTTAGCTACTAATAAAAGAGAAGCATTATTAACTGGTGGCGGTCCACCGCCAAAGAAGAAGAAAGATGGGGACGATACACTGATGGATGACATTTTAATGGCCATTTTAAATGAGAAAACTTTGTTGGGTCTTAAAAATCCATTTGATGATGATGCAGATGAAACGGAGATACCCCACATTGAAGGTAATGAGGAAGTTGTTCTTGAATTAGAGGCATACCCATGCGAAGTTGCAACTACCGAAAACTGTGTAGCGGATACTGTTAATGTGGAAGCACAGGTAAGTTTTTATCAGTAATAGTTAGTAGTAACGGTTACATAGACCTAACTAAACCAGTAAAGCGGGGTTCACATTTGTGCATTTTCATGCTGCATTTGATGGCGCATCAAGTTGCTGCATTTTTTCATGCGCGCGTAGCTATTCAGATTACTGCAATTTTTGATGCAATTACAAATATCACTAGTTAGGGAATTTACTTTTTGCCAACCCAGTTCTCCTCAATTGGCATTCTGGAGTAAAAAATAAAAGTGTTTTTCTTATAAATTTTTCCCTCAAAGTTCAAATACTTGAAGTATGGATGTGGAAGAAATTGTTCTAATAACACTTATAATTGGTGCATCTGCAGCTTTATTATTAAATCGTAAGAGACGGTGGTGGGTAAGACCATGGATTGAGCAACGGGAAACAAATAGTCAAGGCAATTCTAATTTGTTGCACAATGAATTAGCAGTGCTGGATAAAGAAAATTACAAGAATTTTATTAGAATGGATGAAGATACTTTCAATGATCTATTGAAACTTATTGAAAATGATATACAGAAACAGGACACTAAATTCAGGAATGCAATTTCGGCCAAAGACCGATTATCTGTTACATTGCGCTATCTAGCTACTGGCGAGTCTTATAAAAGTCTTTCCTTTTCATTTAGAATGGGACAATCAACAATTGCTGGAATAATCCCAGAAGTTTGCATTGCCATTTACAATAATTTAAAAAATCAGTATTTAAAGGTAGATACAGCTACACTCGACAATGAATAAAAATGATGTTTAACTAAATAATATTTTTAGATGCCTACTACAACCCAAGAATGGTTAAAAATTGCTAATGAATTTGAAGAAAGATGGAACTTGCCACATGTGTTAGGTGCATTAGATGGTAAACACGTTGTTATAAAAGCTCCCGCAAATGAAGGATCGTCATATTTTAATTATAAGCACACACACAGTATCGTACTATTGGCTTTGGTTGATGCCAATTATAGCTTTTTATATGTCGATGTGGGTAGAAATGGAAAAATTTCAGATGGGGGTGTATACAAGAATAGTTCACTTGCTGCAGCGATTGAAACAAACAAATTAAATTTTCCAGAGGAAAGACCATTGCCAGCGGGTACCAAACCAGTACCATATGTAATAGTTGCTGATGCAGCATTTCCATTATCCCGTCATATTTTAAAGCCGTTTCCATTTCGTAATATGACTTGGCAACAACGTATATTCAATTATCGCCTAAGCAGAGCACGAAGAGTTGTGGAGAACGCATTTGGGATATTAACAAATCGTTTTCGTGTATTATTGAACATTATAAGTTTGGACCCAAGTAAGGCCCAAACATTAACTCTAGCATGCATTGTGCTACATAATTTTTTGCGAACAAGGTCCCCAAATGGTTATGATGTTAAGGAACAGAACATTGATAGGCGATTCACATTTAAGTACACCTTAAGTCGACAAGCAGGCAACAGGTCAACTGCATCAGCACTTGATAATCGAAATGAATTTGTACAATATGTAAATGGTATAGGAGCAGTAGAATGGCAAAATGACTTAGCATAGCATTATTATTATCAATAAACAAATGTACAAAATAAAATCTAATCATATTGAGCATCAACAACTTTTGTAAATATCTCCTTCTTCAACATCCGTATTTTGTAAGGGTCTTCGACTTTCCTCAACTCTGTTGCGATTGTCCTACAACATAATAAAAATTGATAGTTTTTTTAATATTTATCACTGGCAACTTATTTAATTGCTATTTAAAACACTTACTTTGCAAATATATCAAATTCATCTTCAATGTGGGGCCTTTTTTTGCAACTTTCGAGGGATTGTACAGCGGTTTGGATTAGGTCTGCCACAGAGTTCTGCATTTTCCTCTTGCTTTTTGATACTGTAGGTGTAGTTGCCCTTGATGTCGATGTTTGTGAAGTGCATGGACTGTTATTGAAAGCATCAACTTCATATTCATCCAGGTCTTCCAGCGTGCCTTCAAACACAATATCCTCATCATATGTAACTGTAGTACCATTGGGCGTGAATATTTGGGTCTCCTTAAAATCAATTACAATGTGATTATTTTAAAAACCTTATAAATAAATACTTACTGATGGTTCAATATTTGATTGGCTTTCCCTCACTGGATCGCATTCGTTTAAAAACTGCAGCATGTCAAAACACCAAAGTTTCGGTTCGTAGGAATCTGCTGAACAACCACTGGACAAAAATTTTTTTAATAGTGCCACCTCTTTCTTAAATTGCGTCCGAATTACGTGTACTTTTTTAATTATGTCTTGGTCCGTTAAATTGCGGCACTCAACCTGATACTTTTTCATCAATTCATTTTTTATTGATTGTATTGCATTTTGCCGTTTCATTTTATTCTTATATTCTTTCATTTTCGTTGTATACAATAAGGGTTGCGCTTCGTACAAAATTATAAGGTCCTCCACTAAGGTACGCGACCATGGAAAAGCACGTATTTCACGGTTCATTTTTAACACTAAATAAAATAATTAACCCAATTCCAAACTGTTTAAAATTAAAATGTAAGGTTAAGAAACATAAACAGCCATGAGTCAACGAACTTTTCGTTGCAAACTTAATTCTAGCTATTGGCAAGAGAAATATTCCTAAAAATATTACTAAAGATGCGCCAAAAAATGCATACAAAATAGAACGTGGTCTAAAGCATGCATTTCCATGCGCATCAAAAATTGCAAGAAAAAATGCATAATGTGAAGGGGGAAAATGCAAGCATTTTAATGCCGCATCACAGTTGCAGCATGGAAATGCACAAATGTGAACCCCGCTTAACTTAATTGTGTGTATATCGATAGCAGTGGTTACAATTTGTACTGGACAAAAATGTATCTGATTGAATCAAATTTTAGAGTTCCATTAACGCTATCCAAATGCCAGTCCCAACAATGAATTGGAAAAAGTATGTTCCAAAACAGCTACAATGCCCTACAAGTGCAATTCTACGTTTCTCAGAAGAGAAAGAAAATATACCGGAACCTGATAATGCCCCAGCACCCAACAAGGTAACAATTTTTTTAATCGTATGATGACTTTTAATTGCAACGTTTTGTAGGTTAACACTCCAAAGAATGCAAACAGAAGAAGACCAACAACAGTAGTCAAGACACTTACATCATCTGAGATAGCAAAAAAGTACAATCTGTTACTCGACAAAAGACTAAGCTTAGTAGATGCACAAATTAAACATTTACATGCAGAAAATGAACTTGTTCTTAAGAAACGTGAATTGGAAATTGAGTTACTGCATATTCAAATAGCAAATGAAAAATATGTAGAATAATATGTTACATGTGGTAATAAATAACAATTTCGTTTTTTATAACTACCTTTAATATTATAAATTTGCAAAATGATTATTTATCAGGTCTGTCCTAAAATCATAATTAATATTTTCATTTACATTTATAACAGGAATCTGTCCTTGTGCAATTAAATAATCCAATTCTTCTGCATTGATGTCATTTGGAGGTGGTGGAACATCGTCACGCATATTAATTGCAATATTATGCAAAACTGCTGTAGCCACAATTATTGTTAAGCCAGTTTCCATCTCACATCGAAGCCCATAACACAACACTGGGAATCTTCTTTTCCATACACCATTTGTCCTTTCTATGCAATTGCGGGTACGAATATGGGATTCGTTATATAATTGTTGTGGTCGAGTTATTGGATTTAAAAGTGGTGTTAGTAAATATTGCTTTAAGCCATATCCACTATCGCCTAAAGTAAAGATTACATTACTTTCTGCCAGCTAATTAGAAGTACATTATGATGTATTTAATATTAACAGCAATTACCAAGCATAATAGCAGATCTAAAGTGTCCAGCTTCAAATAGTGTCTTTAAGCGACTATTGTTAAAAATAGTAGCATCATGTGCCGAACCGGGCCATCTGGCCACAATGTTACTAATTTTTAAGTCACTATCACACACAAGTTGCACATTTATTGAAAAATATGACTTGCGGTTTCTGTAGACTTCACTATCCTCCCCTCCTGCAATGTTATAGTTTAGGTCTGTTATAAAATTTTTATAAGTTAACCTGGAGATCGAATTTTAACGTGTGTTCCGTCTAGGCATCCTATTACCCGAGGGAAACGTGCTACTCTATAAAACTTGTTTTGGGTAGAAATTATTTCCTCAGGAGTCGTAGGCATTTGTATGAATTGATTTCGCAGAGCAGCAATTTGTTGTGATACTTTTTTCACAATACGAAAAACGGTGCTTTGGTTCATACACATGTAATCACCAACGTTTATTTGATGACTGCTACTTGCATAGAATAAAAGCGTGGTTAGCAGCTGATTGATTGGTGATACACTGTTATTCCTACAACATAATTAATAATAAGCGCCCTATGATTATTTTGATAAAAAAGTGCCATAATACTGGCCCATACACTATAACTCGTATAGTGCTTAAAACAGTCACTTACAAATCATTCTCAAACTCCAGCTGATTTTCTATTAGTTCTAAAACTGACATTGTGGCCTGTTTAGTTAATCGAAATCGCTTCAGGAAATTAAGGTCATCCATTTCTTCAAAGAAATTTGGTCTTTGGTAAAATTTTCGAGGAAATCCAAACTCAATTATTTCCAGAAAATCAGATCATCGTCTAGTATAATCTCATCTTCAACTTCCATCGCAATCGACTTCTACAAGAGCAGATTATATTTTATAATTTAAAAAGTGAGGTTAGTTTGTAACAAAGCTCAGCTTAACACGCTAAAGCCTCCAAAAATGAAGGTTTAATATTAACGGCGCTTAAGCTCCTTTTTTACTACGGTGCATACCATACTGTCAACTTCAGCGAGCTTAAATATTAAGCTTGGTTTATGATACCACGGTGCATATGGCCATTGAATTCATTCATCATTTATAAATGTACAGTGTAGGCAACACATCATACGGGAGGCCTGACTTCATTAGCGGCATTGTTGCGTTTATCGGGACTAATTTACAAAAAGAAACCGGATTCATTAGAACGTATTATAATTCCATAATATACTGGGTAATAGAATTCACACGGAAAATGTAATTTATTTTTGGGTGAATTAAAACTTTGCGTCTTTTCTGACGTTTTTCGTAACACCCCTAATAGTCCAGTCAACCTGTGTTTTTAGTGGGAAAAAAATAGTATAAAGCTAATTTTTTCCCCATTGACTACTACCATTTAGACAAGTGTTTAGCCAAAAGTCCCCGCGCCTACCCCCCTTGCTTCACCCCCTGTGCTCCCCTGAACATGAAAAGTGTAGGGGTTTCGTAAATCGCGTCTCTTTCGATTACTAAACAACATATCGGATTGCAATTTGTTTTATTCTCTTTGCTATATAACATTGTCTACAAATAAGTTTCAGTTGACTTTCGTCGTAACTTTTACCGTTTGTTGGTAATGACTATGAAAAGGTAAAAAGTAGTATATTTTTCAGCACGTAATTTTACTTTTTGTCGCAGAAATTTTCACGCCGACATTTTATCAAAAAATGTTGCCTACAAAAGTTGTAGCTCCCATTATTATCTTTAAAATGATATGACATAGTACGTACTTTGTTGAAGAGCCTGCGAGATTCAGCCGGTGTAAAGCAGAATGCGTATACCCAGTCGTGGCGGGTTCGTCGAGGTGGGCCCGGCGGCGCGGCGTTGCAATGCTAATATTGTTGTATAGTGAGTGTTTTTTTTTAACTTTAAGGTACACTATTGCATTTTCTCTAAACAAAACCAAACGAGATTTTTTTTATGTTCTCACAGAATGTGATACCAGGTCTTCTTTATTCGGCAAAGGCAAAATCAACGAGAACAAATCGGAAATGGTCAACATCAATCTATTTTTTAATAAAAAAAAATTAAGATACCGCAATTATTTTCTTCTAAATCAACATAAACGAAATATTACATGCATTTTCAAACAAAAAACTATTTAAAATACGTTTTTTAGCTGTACTTATAGTAGGGGAGCTAGCACGAAATCCACTGAACGAGAATGATCAAAATTTTAACCGATGGATTTCCATTTTGCCCTATCAGAGTATGCTAAAATCGATCGTCTGCCGCCTCAGGTCATACGACTTAAGGCGCTGCGGGTACTTCTTGTGGTACCAATTCTGAAAGGTTGTTTTTCGAGAAAATAACTTATACACCAAATGAAAACGTTGATAATAGCTCTTAAAAAAATATTTTAAAAAATCGCGCACATTTGATAACTCCGTAAAAAACAATTCTTAGTCGGTTTTTCACGAACTTTCTACGGTTATAACTAGGTTACTGTCGGATAAATGAAGCTGATTTTTTTTACAGACTATAATGATGGGCACAGCCATAATGGCTATGAGAGTGTTTCTTTTTTAAATTTTTTCTCTAATTAGAAGATATCTTATAATGTTAAGATGATAAGATAATCTTATAATTAGAGAACAAATTTAAAAACTAACCACCGTTAAGTCATTAGTAGTACCTATCATCAGTCTGTAGAAAAAATCAGCTTCATTCGTCTAACCGTAACCTAGTTATATCCGTAGAAAGTTCGTGAAAAACCGACTAAGAATTGTTTTTTTACGGAGTTATCAAATGTACGCGATTTTTTTAAATATTTTTTAAGAGCTATTATCAACGTTTTCATTTGGTGTATAACTTATTTTCTCGAAAAACAACCTTTCAGAATTGGTACCGCAAGAAGTACCCGCAGCACCTTAAGTCGTATGACCTGAGGCGGCAGACGATCGATTTTAGCATACTCTGATAAGGCAAAATGGAACTCCATCAGTTAAAATTTTGATCATTCTCGTTCAGTGGATTTCGTGCTAGCTCCCCTACAAGGACTTATTAATATTTGACACAAATTTAAAAAGGGTGGAATTTAGGTTTCACTGAGACTCGTTTGGTTTTGTTTAGAGAAAATGCAATAGTGTACCTTAAAGTTAAAAAAAAACACTCACTATACAACAATATTAGCATTCCAACGTCGCGCCGCCGGGCCTACCTCGACGAAGCCCGCCACGACTGGGTACGCATTCTGCATTACACCGGCTGAATCTCGCAGGCTCTTCAACAAAGTACGTACTATGTCATATCATTTTAAAGGTAATAATGGGAGCTACAACTTTTGTAGGCAACATTTTTTGATAAAATGTCGGCGTGAAAATTTCTGCGACAAAAAGTAAAATTACGTACCGAAAAATATACCACTTTTTACCTTTTCATACTCATTACCAACAAACGGTAAAAGTTACGACGAAAGTCAACTGAAACTTATTTGTAGACAATGTTATAGCAAAGAGAATAAAACAAATTGCAATCCGATATGTTGTTTAGTAATCGAGAGAGACGCGATTTACGAAACCCCTACACTTTTCATGTTCAGGGGAGCACAGGGGGTGAAGCAAGGGGGGTAGGGGCGGGGACTTTTGGCTAAACACTTGTCTAAATGGTAGTAGTCGATGGGGAAAAAATTAGCTTTATACTATTTTTTTCCTTCAACGGGTGTTTTACGACACAGGTTGACTGGACTATACAATTTTAGTGTGATACAAATTTGAGATTATTTCCATGTAGCATCCTTCGGAAAGAGATTTAATTTGCGTAAAAACGGTCTAGGACGTTTTGGCGCGGCCTTTTTGGCGCAGCCGTTTTGGCGTGGCCGTTATGGCGCAGGCCGTTTTGGTGCGAGCCGTTTTGACGCGATAAAAATAACATTTAACACAAAAAGATGTACAAAGTAAACACCAGGAATTAAAAACTAAAACCTTTAATTGTACATACGAAGAATGTATATGATTACAAATATATACAAACAAAACAATTTTATGGATTCATTTCATAATTGTATGATATACCTCTTAAATACTCTATAATATTTCTGTTTTCAAAATCTAAAACTAATCGCGTTATTCGAGTATCGGCATCCCTGTACTTCTTGAGTTTCTTTGGTGGCTGTCTCCCTGCCAACAGTTGTTCGTACTCGCCGTCCCTTCCCTTTTGAATGCTTTTTAGGGCGTTAACAAATTTCCATATCGTGGGATGATCCATCCCCAGCTCAATTTGCAGTCTCCGATGAGCGGCCTCGGCATGATTGTTTGTGCGGTCTTGATTGTTCTGCACTCTGTCGAACACAGACCACATATTTGGAGAGAACATTGCTAGCCTTCTACCATTTCCTCTTCGGTTCGGACGCCCGATGTAATTGTCTTCTAACCATTGCAGAAGAGGTTGAAGTTCTACTGGCAAAGCTTCACCCAACGCGTCAACAGCTTCGTCCAAATCGTTTATGGGAACAAACGCCAATGAACTAACCATTCTAGCCATCACCGCAA